CAAGTTGCGTCTAGAGTTTTTTGAATTCTATCCTGCCCTAATTGCACTTAAAACCCCTATAGTTTCCCCCACTTTGCAGTTATATACACTCACTTGTTTTTTTTGGTAGCAGTTATATACCCCAAAGTTTATGAAACCTGCACTTACATATCCTTACTTCTTTTGTTAGCGCTTAAATACCCTAAAGTTTTTAAAATATGACGCTTAAATACCCTTAAAAACTTTGCACTTAAATACCCTTTGTTATCCAAGCTTGCGGGTATCAAAGTGCATGTTTTAAAATATTTAGTGTAAGATAAGTGTAAGTTTTAAAAACTTTAGAGTATACAAGTGTTGATAAAAAAATTAGAGTATATAAATATAAAATTTAAAAACTTTAATGTATATTAATACTGCCAAAAGCAAGTGTGGTTATGTAAGTGCGAAGCATGAGAAAGTATAGGGTATTTAAGTGCAATCAAGCCTTCCATCTTCGATGTTGGATTTTGTTGTGTACTTTTCTTGGTAATTTTATATTCGTTAATTCCACATCGGATTCAATTTAGTAGGAACTTTTGCAAACTTACGCCTCTGTAACTTTCGCTTGCAAATATGTTTTAGTTTGCAAGTCATGTGATTCATTACCAACTAGTGATAATTGGTAGAGCTTTTATTAGTCCTTGTTTGAGAATAAATTGAAGCAGGAGATGGGATACTTTAATCAGAAGTTGTATTGCAAATAGCTTTTTATGGGTTTTTGCATATTTCACCCCCAAGCAATTTTACCCTTCAAATCATGCTATTTAAAAAAATTACTCTCCAATCTCTCGCATTCCAAATTCACAATATTGGTTTTTCAAATAGAGAATTGTAAAATTTTCCAATAATTTATTATAAGTTTATAATATTTTTATTTTAAGAACTAAAACTGTCAAATGGGAGGGGTAGTAAATCTCAATGTAAAAGAATTGGAGCAATTTTACAAAGACTAAGGTTTGGAGGATAAATTTATAAATATTGAAGTTTGAGAGGTCTATATATGCAAAAAAAGAAAAAAAGAAAAAAGAAACCCTAATTTTTAACTGACACAAATTGATATGAGATGTTTATAAATTCCCATTCCTCTTTGAAATATCTTCAGTGCTTACACTCATCAAATAAATATAAGTTTTTTTAGGACAAAAAATGTAAATAATAAAACATGGACACTGTTTTGGTTACTAAATATTGTAACATTAATTACTAGCATGAGACATAGGACTAAAGAGAAAGAGGGATTGAGATTGGGCATTTATATGACATTGACCTATGACAACAGCTTAAGTAAGCAGCAAAGGTAAAAATAAGAGCTTGCTGAGTTTTAAGTTTATGTCAACTTAACTCAATTTAATTTCAAAAAGATTTATTACTCTTTACTCATTGTTTTTTTTTTCGGGGGTGGGGGGGTGTGGGGTGGGGTGGGGTAGGGATATTGTTTAATATTTTATTCTCAAATAGAAGATTTCACTTTAAAATTTGAGAATTATGTTTGTGGTCCTCTGTTGCTTTCTTTTCCTTCGACTTCAAGGTAGAGTTGTAAGCAATATTTGGGGGCAAAGTGGTATAAACCGTTTCTCCAAGGGGTTTCTCGAGAAAAGGCCCTCCGCATGTTTTGATCGTGCCGAGCGACAATATGATCGCCAACGTGGACCCCGTGCACGTGCAATCGCACAGATGTTTGTGCCGTATTGTTTTTCACTATTATTTTGATTTCCTGTTATTTTTTAGGATTAATTGTTACAAGACCCTCTGTAGTATTACTCAATGGTAAATGGAATATTTGTAGTTCTACTTATTATGAATAGGTTCTTTAGGTAATGTTTTCCACTCTTAAAATCGTTACAAAAAATTTTATTTTGTTTGCTCTTCCCTCAATTTATTACCTTTTTTGTTTTTGTTTTCTGAAAAAAAGGAAGAGAGCGGATCATGCACATAATTTAGGAAGGCACGAGTTTCCGTAGGACCCTGAAATGAATGATTTGGTCTGCCACGGCCCACGAATGTGGATGGATTCCGTACGGAAATTTGGCCTATCCATTAGCTGCATCTTATCCCAAAAAGATTCTGGTGCCCGTCAAGCTCAAAGGGAGGAAGGATGCACATATTTATATCAGTTTTATGATTTCGGAATCCCAATAGAAACAAAATTTAAACATTCTTTATCTATTATTTACAGGTAATATAGCCTCTCTCTTAGATTTTGAATTTTTTAGTTTTAATAACATTTTTAGTTATTTCCAAATTATATGTAGGGGTACAATGAGAAAAGTTCAAAGTTCAAGGAGGTTTCATGAGACAATTTAAAGTTGAGGGCGTTATGCGAGATAAACCCATAGTTTAGGGGGGTTACGGGAAATTAACCCTTTTTCCCCGACAAAATTAAGTTCAAGGAAGTTTGCTAGAAGCCGAGACTTGATTCAAAAGCCAAAAATAAGAAACAAGTTGAGATATAAACCTCTTCCCATTAATTAACTATTACATTTACCAACTCCCCACATCATCAATTGTTTAAATATTAAAAACTCATTTTCCCAACCTTTTCCATCCCATTTCCGCGTTTTTGGGGAGGAATTGATTTCTTCGCAAAACATGGTGTTTTCCCCCCACTTCTAAGAAAACCTTTAAACGATGCTAAAGACATAATGAAAACATTAAACGAGACTGTAACAAAGAAATGACCGAGATCAGATCAATATGTAGGGATGATCAGATCAATATGTAGTACGTGTATACAGGTTATTCTAGCAACACATGATTAGCGAAATAAAATAGTGTTAACAATAGTTCAAACTAACTGCTAAAGCAAGCTGAACCTTTTATTTCATGATGACTATGGGATTAATAATGAGGGCTATCGTCAATATTTACAATTCTAAATTTCTCAAGGGTTAGGGCGGAAAAGGGAATACTCCCATTCCAAGTTACCTCTATATATTCTTTACACCCCGAGGGGCTAAAGTTTCTTCTCTTCAGGCAGATCACATTCATTTGGAGCTTCAGAAACTCTTCTATCATATATCCAAACTCATTTTTAGCAGTGAGCCTGCTCAAAACTTTCGACATGGAACACACTCTATCCTCTTGCTTTCATTATGTATCTTCTGCGAGTAAAGGAATTTGCAGTATATAGCTAATTACAGTTAAATTTCATAAAACCTCTCAGTACTTCGGAGCGTTTCCCACAAAACCCCTTGGTACTTTGTTTTTCCCACTAAAATTTTCCCACATGACCTTCAAGGAGACGAAAATGACCCTCAGGCCAAAAGAATCCTTTTCTCAAATTTTCTTTTACAAAAGAAAACCCTTACATTACGCAATTTGCAAATGAACCCTGCTCTCTCCCCTCTTTTTCCAAAACCTAACCCAACCCGCCATTCTTTTTTAATTCCTTTCTGAACTTTTTAGGGCCTATGGGACATTTTCATCACTTTGTGCGGAAATTTGCAAAAGAATCCTTTCTGAACTTTGGGGGTTAAGTGGGAATTTGTGTTCAGCGGGAAAAACAAAGTACTTATGTGTACACGTGGCCTTTGTTTGTTTTTTTTTTTTTTTTTTTTTTTTTTGGTGGGTGGTGGGGGGTGGGGTGGGGTGATGAAAATGCCCCAAAGTACTGGGTTTATTTTGTGAAATTAACCATAATAATTACTGATAGAAGAAGGTCGTATAGGAATAATTTCAGTTAGAAAAAGGATACATTGACTCCACAAATCTGTGATGCTACCTTGTATCCCTGAATCAAACCAGTAATCAGCATCTGCCTGCAAGTTACGAGAATATGATGAGCAACGAACAAAATGCTCGTGTTTTCTACACTGAAATCTTAACCTTTATTAGACACTTACATCACCATTGGATGGAACAATCTTCATTATACCACCAACGAGTCCGTCAGAAATCAACGGATCTGAAGTATTTGCCTCTTGATCCATTGGATGAGAAGAGGATCCAGCATTTCTGTTGTGCCAACTAATATCCAAAGATAAATCCATGGGTACAGGATGATCTCCTTCATTTGAAACCCCAGGTGTCTCTTCATGGTTGCTGTTACATAAATGGGCAGCATAAGTATCACAAATAGTACACAAGAACAAGCAAATCAGAAAAAAGGGGGCCTTTTGATATTAATTAATCCTGCAAATCTGTAATATTTTGGAAATTAGTCCCTCAAACAATTGAATTTGCAATTTGATNGTCAATAGTATCATATATTTCTCCTGCCGCTCTTGATTGGAGGGGTTCATTTGAAACAGGTTATAAGACTTGGGGATCTAATAGCATATTCAATTAGAGGGACTAATTTTGTAACAACTTATAAGAATTAGAGGACCCAATAGCAGTTTCAATGATTTGAGGGACTAATTTCAATATATTAAAGCGTTAAGCATCTTCAATCGAAAAAACCCCAAGAAGTTGTTCATGTAGGTGCTTGGCGAGCCCTACACATTGAGAACATAGTAACAAAGTGTGTGCTCATATTGCAGTGCAACGTGACATTAACTTGAGACACACCTCACCCATTTCCCAATAATCTGAATATTTCATGCAGCAAGAAAAAAGATACCTGATTAAGAAGCAACTAATGGGACCCATTGAGGTCCTAAGTACGAGCTGGTGTTGTCTCTCTGAGAAGCCAAGGCCCTACATGTAAAAGTAGCTAAATCAGTATATAAATCTACTCGATGCATAACATCTCAATTGGTTGTATCTCTTGCTTACCTCATCAGGATCTGGAGCCTCAATGCTAGTGGCACGAGGAGCTTTTATCGCAATCAGTGTAGAATCCTGTGAGGGAACAATTAAAGAAAAAACACCAAGAATAGTTAAAATATGTTAGCTAAAAGATGCAGGGTAAATCATAAGGATTCCCAGAAGTTAAAACCTGAAAGCATGGAAGGCTATTGATATCTTCCTTGGTGACATAAAGCAACCTAAGTTTCACATATGGAAGGGAAATTGGACGTTAATAAAATAGCAGATATAGATAGAAGAATAGACGAAGAAAACATTTCACGTATGACTTACTTAGTATCTTCCTTCAAAATCCTAAGTTTCTCTTCCACCTCCCTACAAAGAAATCAGTGTTAGATTAAGGATCGTGAATGATGAGACAAGTTGATTCAGAACTCACATTATCATTCTATCAGTTCTGCACTCTTCCTTATACAGAGATCCATTTGCCACCTGTAAAGATGTTGAGAAGCAATGAACCATTATGAATTGAACCAGCATGATATACAGCATGAGCATTACCATACCCATGCAAATCAGCATAAAGAATCACACAATTTGACTTATTGATGTATACATAAAATAATGCCTTATTCACTGCTCTTACTTTCAGCATAAATCTCTCTCTAATCTCCCGCCTTTCTTGTTACTCTTGCAGTTGTTGATGTGAAACACCAAAAGCAGCAATTTAAGGGGAGGGGGAGACGAGAGGGGTGCTTTGCATACCGGTGAAAGATAAATTCCACTGAATAGAAAATAAATAATACAGAAGCATATAGTTCTAAGCAAAAGATAATCCTCCTTATTCGCCAAGTCCCGAGAAATACAAGAACCAGAGCATTGCTTACTATACTTGAGCTCCCTGGTTAAGTTTATCGTAACAACCACCAACGAAGTTTGGATAGCATCAGCAGGGATGAGTTCCAACAGAATTTACAACTGAGACTACAACTTCAAAATAAACATTTAATTTGCAGCATGTAAAAGTTTGATTAGTCTAGAAACAGTACGTTACTTGCATCTCGAATTGTTTATAAAGGCACTTCTTGATAAAGAGGAAAGATCAAGAGAGAATGGTAGATTAGAAACTATCAACCTAAAAGAGAAACAAATCTATCCTTTAAAAAAAATCTATCCTTTTAAAAGAGAAACAAATTTATCCTTTTAAAAAAGAAAAAAAAGGGTTTTTGAAATCTTCTGTGAAGCCTCATAAAAGAAGCATATGAATTTCGATGGGCACTCTCCTTGAGGGAACGAGTGTTGGTGTACTTGCGCACGTGTATGTGTGTTCGAGAAGGAGGAGAATGCAAACAAGGGTCAGTGGGAAGGGGCAATGTGGGTAAGTAGCCTGCATTGTTTACGAGCATCTATATGGTGTTAAAAAAATGCCGCGTTGCAAACTAAATACAACCATATGCGAATTGGCAAGTGAAAAAGAGGACCGAAAGAATTAGTTCATGGGAAACAGTAATGTGTACATTCAATACACTTTTTTAAATATTACACCTCAAAACTACCAGCATAGCGATGATGCATCCTACACATAAAAGCAAGCTACACTGAGAAAGACCATAATATCAAATATGAAGAGCAAATGAGGAGTGAGGAAGTAAAAGGCTAAGATTTAACATTGCTGTCATACCTTCAATTCGGCAATTTGGTTGTCAAGCTCCATAGATCCCATCACATCATCTCCCCTTTTTATATAGATTTCTTAGCATTAGTTTTGAATTAAGATTAATAGGAAAACAAAATAGCAAATGTTTTTAGAAGTTACTTCCAACGTATTCTGTTCTTCAGGCTCTTTTCCATTAGTCCTACTCCTTCAAGAACATTTGTGATATCATATATCCTCCTCTTTTGTACCTATCAAATTAAGGAAATTTACGAAAGTTGAAATCACTGTATAAGATTACAAAGGTATCCAAACTTATTAAAATGGACAGCAACAGGCATTGTTTAAGTTGATAATCCTACCTCCAAAAGTTCAGCTGCTTTGTTTAAATCCAGAGTTCCATCTTCTTGCTGCTGAAGCAGATTAACAAACTTCTTTGTCAACAAGCCTGTCATGATATATGATCACAGGAAATATATAAGTGGTGGGAATAGAAAGTAACGAAAGATACACTACAAAAATTATGTCCAAAATGTGGTAGCATCAGCTTACTTAGAGAACTATCATAACGGCAGCTGTTGGCACCCAAGGGATCTGGAACACCTGAAAACAAGTAGCAACCAGTAAGCATTAATTTTGATTTATTTCAGAAATCAGAATAGTTCATTTTCTGGTTTTGCAGACAGACTTAGTTAAACTAAAAAATATCATTGTGTCTCAACTTTCAAATGACCGTGTTCATAATGATTTACCATCAACTGATCCAATCACTTGTGGCATGAGTCTTTTATTTTTTGGCTTTCGGATTTTCTGTTTACCACCGGCAGCAGGCAAGGTTGGAGGTATATGAGCTTTACTTTCTTCCTTCTGCCCTTGTTCAGTTTTACCTTGGACATTCTCGACTTTATGACCTGCCTTCACTGCCTGCTTTAACTGCAATAAATAAATAAATAAAAATTAAATAGCATAACCACTACTTAATATTTGGACCGATAGTAGAAAAATAATGGGTAGACAAAGAAACTGCGAGATATATTCATCTATTCAAAGAATTTCAACAACATGCAACTATTCAGAGAATTTGAATAACAAATGAAGTTGAACTGGAATCAAACAAAAAAGAAAGACAAAGAAACAAAGCCCAAGTATGAGGATATTCTAACCAAGGAAAACAGGGATAAATAAAAATATGTTTTAAAAGACACAAAATATACAATAAATCATAAACCTACTTTTGTTATATGTTGGGTTAAGAGTGTGAGATTTACTAGACCTCTCTACGAGTAACACTAATTCAAATTATCATGTTTCAAGATGCCCTGGGTCCATAAGAATACTCATGTCTTTCGTCTAACAATGAGGACCATAACCATTTACGAGACCCAGATGTCAAGCATGAGCAGATCAAAGTCTTGTTCAGGTAAAAGGCAAAAGCCCTACCCTAAATCTGAAAATATTGTTATTTGCCTTTTACGACCTGAAATCTCATGCCCATGCAAGGTATTAAATATCGTTTATTGGCGATTTATCGGACGGTCAAAATCCATATCGGAGAGTGGAAATCGGGGATTTATCGGGGATAAGTAGTATTTATCGGAGTGTCATATTGAAGAGTGTGCGTGCATAATATAATGTCCTAAAATATAATATTGTATAACATGCAAGCCAACGGTAGAAACTTAATGAAATATAAACATACCAAAATGTAAACGCACATGGTTAAGATCACTAACCAAATGTAAATACACATGTTCAAGACCACTAACCGATAATTCCGATAATTTTTACCACTAAACTCCGGCGATTTTTATCGGCTTATCGCCACTTTATCACCGATAATTACCCAAAACGAAACCGATTAAAATTTGAATTTATCATAGCGGAAGGGCCCCAAAATCGATAAATTGCTGATAATGTCGATTTATCGGGCGATATTTAAAACCTTGTTCTGCCCGTGCTGCAAAGCTTTTTGCATTATCCTTTGATCCTTTTTGTCTTTCATTTACTAGTCCCTTATTTTCTACTGCAAAAAGAAAACATACAAAAGTACAATTTTCATAACAAGAAGTGCGTTAATAAATCAATTTAAATTTCTATGTTTTATTTTGTTTTAGAGATTGGTTCAAAAACTTTAATCATGCCTTTCTTTAATACCTTTCTGTTTCAGTAATTCTTATTGATGTTTGTTAAATCTGATCGAATATCCTGTCTTTGCTCTTGTCTCAAGCATAAAGGTTTATGAGACCCTAGACAGAAAGGTGAAAATCTAACATCTCAGTAAAGCATTCTTTCAAAAAGAAAAAAAAAAAGTTGATAAACAAATGAAGGCCATCAAGTTCCAGCTTTTCTATTTTGCATTACGGATCTGATAGAATTATAGGCTAGTAGTGAGCCTATTTAATAAGCATATTCCTTGGTTTCTTTCTAGTATTATCTCATCCATCTTGTGTATCCTTTTCCAATGTTCAAGGTCCATCGAAGGCACAAATATTCGAAACTATCTCCTCATCTTTATCTGTGGCACAGATAATTGCATCTAGTACAAGGTCACTACACCTCAATCAATCTTGATTATGAGGAGAAAACCAGTAAGCTTTCTACACCCTTTTGGACTTGAGACTAATAACAATAGCTTCCAGCTTTCAAAGCTATAATCTACATCAGTACAAGCTGTATGTTTGTGTTGCCTCGTGTCATCTCTAAAATCATGTTAAGTAACAAGACAAAATATAGATGAGGATTGATAAAATATAATGATGTCGACAACAATATTTATTTGTTGACTTAAAGGTAAATACGAGTTAAAAGTCTTTCCAAATCAAACTATCACAAATGCACAATAGAAACAGCAGATATATTTAGTTACTCAAAGCTATGTAACTATACATATCATCGATGACGAATACTTGACAAACTGCAATATGATCAAAAAGATCAAACAAGACCATCTCGCGTGCAATATCATAAACTGTACTTCATTCCTGACTTCAACTAAAATCCCAACTTTAACCTAGAAATTCCATCCAGATTCCAAATTTCCCTACCTCCAAGATCAGACCCCAGTGTAATTAAACAATAATCGAGCAGTCTCAAAATCACAGACTGTAAGAAAATCAACAAGATTTCCCCTTAGTTAAACTCACCGACTGAAAAGTTATTCCTCACTTGAACTAGAATCCCAACTTTGACCTAAGAAAACTATCAAAATCCCCAATTTCCTCGCAGCAAAGATCAATTCCCAATGCAATCCAACAACAATCGAACAGGATCAAAGAAAAGCAACTTCCTTTCCCTCAATCCATTGCCAAAATAATCTCAGTTGAACCTCGCCGACTGAAACTTCACTCTTCAGTCGAAACTACAATCCCAAACTTAACCCAGCAAACTCGATCCAAACTCCCAAACCAAACTCCATCGCAAGATCAAAACAAAAACTAGACGGATTCCATATTCATCATACGAATTCGCAAGATCGCGCTCACCTGAGGCTCCGGCGGCGGAATCTTGGACTTCTCGGCCTGAAGGCGAGCGTATAGGCGGGACTCTGCGGCGGTGGGGAGCGGGAAGGGCGGTTGGGCCGGATGAACTGGGGACCGCCGTTGGCCGCCGGAGGCTGATGCCGGAAGTGGGACCCATCGTCGCCTGACATGATCACGAGAGGGAGAGGGAGAGAATTAGGGTTAGGGTTAAAGAGAGGGTTAGGGTTTTGAAGAGAGGAAAGAGGGAAGGAGGGAGAACAGAGAGAGAGAGAGGGAGGAGAAAGAGGGAAAAATTATTGTTAGATTGGGCGCGTTAAGGGAGAGAGCGAGGGGGTTGATCGGTATAATCGATGAGTTTTTAGGGGTATTTTGGGAAATTTGTACGGTAGATCCGGTTCTGGATTTGGAATTGGAATTTTTGGAGGGGGGGTTTGGGTTTAAATTAATGCTGACTATGTGTTAAGTTGTGGGCTTTTTCTCGCTATTAGTCCCTTACATCTTAAATATTATGAAATTAGCACCTAACATCATGGAAATTACTATTGCATCCCTCAATGCTCAGGTTATTTTTGAAATTAGTCCCTTAAATCATAGAAATTGCTATAAGATCGCCCAGTTCTTAACTTAGTCTGAAAGTAGACCCTCCAATTAAGAGTATAAGTCATAATTGGAGGGGTTACCAAGTAGTATATGCTATTGTGGACTATCTGCGCCCTCAATTGTAATAATTTATCTTAAATTAAGCCCTCCCATTGCTATTTCTGTCATTGGCTGGAGTGACTAATTTGAAAGTAAGTTAAAATTGGAGGATCTAATAGCAATTTTTATGATCTGAGAAAATTATTTCAAAATAAGCTAAAAATTGAGGGATGTAACGTAGTCATCTTCAGCTGCCAAACGAGCCTTATGATACAACAAAAATAAATAAATAAATAAACGTGGGATCTTAAAGAACAGCAATTTTTGAGCAAAAACCCCCACATTTTGTATATTTCAGACTTCATGATATAAAAGTATCATAAATTTCCAGACGTCATTTATTTGTCTTGAATTTAGATTACACCGTACTGAAAAATGATCATGTGACGAGTTCAAATAGACTTACCGGCCTTTCAAAATAAGAATACCAACTAATGTTGCTTAATTGATATGTTTAGTTGAGAATAGTTCGAGTTCCATATTTGTAATCGTTTGAGATTTCAACCTATATATATATATATATAGGAAAAGTGTTCCTAAGGTGATGTCTTAGATAATTATCTAAGGACGCAGCCTAAAATCACATGATTGAGCTACATTGTGGATGATCCGCTCCGTTAAACTTGATCTACATATTCTAAAAACCCAACACACCAAGTTTGGGGTGAACCCATCGTCGTTTGACCTTCCGTCGAGCCATGTGAAAAGTTCTATTCATTCGAAATCGTTAAAATTGATACGAGTAGATGAAGGGTCAAACGACGACGGGTTCATCCCAAATCGAATATTGTTGCAATTACTAAAATGTTGTTATTAAACTAAAATACTTTTAAAGATGAAGAATTTTAATTAAGATATGTGCATCATGATTGTACTCAAAACTCCAAGTATTAGTGTATTACTAACCAAACACATTCCTATATACGGGCCAAGTTAGAAGAGTTTCTTAAACAATAAGCTGGATTATTATGAATTGTAAATTTCAAATCGAACCGAAAAGAATTAGTGGTTATTAAGAATAAGTTAAAACTGGATGACTCTGTAAATTTGATTTGTTTGGGGGATAGGATGGTAAATATCGAGGCATGAGTTTTGGTTTTGAATCTTACCCGACTCCAATTTTGGTCTCCTTCGCTTATGCTGGTTTCTAATATTATCATATTGTCAATTGGCGCTGGAGTCTGCTCAATAGCTCTGCTTAGGTCAGCATTCTGCAAGCTTGTATTTCTTCGGGAGCAAAAAAAGTATATTATTTTTATTCGCATATATTAATCTTATACAGATTTGACGGAAGTTTGGTAAATATTAGATTTGAAAGATAATTCCGAAAGTGAGGTGGATTTTAGGGATATAAGTAAACACTCTGATTTTAAAATAGGATTAATTGAACAGACTCCCCCACCCAGGGTGAAAACGTGTTGACTATTTTACCCCTGAAAGTAACATACAATTTCAATTTTTTCGAAAACTAACCCGTCAAATAACAAAGCCAAACTTCATTCAGGAGGTATATCTGTCAATATCAAACTTGAGAGTAATAAGTAACGGCCAACGAAAAAAACCCCGCTCTCAAATTAAAATACATACGTTAATAATCTCCCAAAGTTTCCACTGATCCAAAAATCTTTGTTCAGTGGAAAATAACCACTGGGAATAGTCATGATCAACAATGACAACAGTTTGGGCAAATATCATGAAAACAATATCAAGAGTTAACAACTAGCCTCAAGACTGTGATATATACAGAAGGATTTTCCAATGGAATAGGAAGATAAACGGCATTGAATACATCGATAACCAACACGAAACATCTCCAATATCACAACATCATCTAAAGAATGTAGCCTTAGACTGGCTACATTCTTCATGGTGAGCTGTTTCCTTGGCCGGAGGAAAGAAAATCCTTGCTCCAAAGCAACATCAAGAACTCTCTTCATTTTCAAACACGATTCTGTGCGAGCTTCGATATTTCGCCTCTACTTCATAACAACAAAGGAACCCAGCTTGGATAAGTCTGGAACCCAAAACGAAAGCTCGGATGATCCAGTGGTGAACATGACACTTCCCGGTGCCCACTTTATCAATGGTGGTTCTGTGTCAGTACTTGCCCAAAATGCAACCTGAGCACCCAACAATGGGAGAGAGAAAATCATCACTCGGGGGCTTGAAAGTAAAGAAGAAACCTATATGGTTGTATTTATGTGAAACCGATATGGATCAGGTGACCAAGATGACATCAGGACATGAGATATAAGAGCATCTGCAGTAAGCTCCCACCCCACCTCCTAAGGCTCAGGTGGCAGTGGGAGCTCCTTGGGCTGGCGTGGCACAAAGCCTAGGGGCTTGTGCCACGGAGCTCCCAAGCGCTCCACAAATTTGTGGAGTGTTTGGGAGGGAAAAAAAAAAGCCATTAAAAAAAATTTACAAAAAAAACCCCTACCTTTGTACCCTTTGGAAATAGCCGTTTAAAATTTAGTCGTTGATGGTTTTTCAAAACTGACATGAACAGTAAATTAGCCGTTTAAAAATTAGCCGCTGAGATTTAAAAATTTGTCATGAACTTTAAGAGGAATTCTATAGGTTTAAAAAGTTGTCATTGAAAGTAATGTGTAATAAAACTAAAATAGAAGAGGGGTTTTTTCGATATTGTTGGAGCTCCTAACAAGGAGTTTGTTGGAGATCAACATTAGTTAGGAGGTTGATGTGGCATTGAAAATGGTGGGCCATGTCTAGAGAGGTGTTGATAGCTCTCCAACAAGGACTCCCAACTAGGGGCTTGTTGGAGATGCTCTAAAGCTGATATTGGGATATATCTTTTTAACTTCACAAAACCCCCTTTAACTTTGGACAATTTTGAGATAAACCCCCCTTAAACTTTAAAAACTCTAAAATGTCACTTAACCACCTTAAGTTTGGGGTGTTTCAGAAAATCTGCCAAACGTTTCAATAATTTCAAATAACCCCCCTAATGGTGTTAGTGAACTAGTAAAAAGACCAAAATATTAATATTCAAATTACAAATCTAATAATTAAATAGAATAAATAAATAAATAAATAAAAAATCCAAATTAATAATTACCAACTTAAAAGGGGTGTTGTGAAAATTTGCCTTCAATTTATCTAAAAAAGATATGAAAACAGGGTTTTCCATCAGTGCATTTTGGTCATTGACGCACGGTGATTTTCGTACAGATCTAATGTTGTTTTGTTTTTTTTTTTGGTGGGGGGGGGGGGTGGGTGGGGGGGGGGTGGGTCTATAGAATTTACTTTCTTCTAATCTGAATGTTTTTGCTAAATGCTTCCTAATGAAACAGGGGCTTACTTATTCTGACAACCAAAAAAAAAAGGATGCAATCCATGGCATGGTCGATATTGAAGAAATGGATACCAATCAAAGATTATAGAGGATTGTCATACCTTTCCGCCTCTGACATTCCAAGCATAGACACTACCATCCCCAGAACCTATACACAATGATAAACAATTTACAGTAATCAGGTTACCTAAAACCATTTATAGAAAAAAAAAACCACAAACAGAAACGGACATTAAAGCAATTAACTATACCTGATACAATGTACATTCCATCAGGACTGAATGATGCCTCAAGAGTAGCATGGCTTGAAACTGGCTTCACATTGTAAGTGGACAACTGGAAAATACGGGAAAAATAAGAAGGGACTATCAGAGAGTACTCTCACGACATTTTATCACCAACAACATCCGATATCAATCCTATTAATTTTTTTCAGATTTTCTTTCGCAACTATGAAAAAAGGTAATTACTCCAGTAAAATCATTAATTGCACAAGGAACCCAGTAGCATTGTTGTTTGAACTTACTATCCCTGTAATTTTATTGTTGCAAATAGGCCCCTGGATTGATTTTCTTTGACTTTTATCCCAGGTGAAATTTTGGCTAATACTGCTCATGGGTGAAATTACTGAGTCAAAAAGGGGGGGAAACAGGGGGTCTACCGGCAAAATGAAACTACAGGGATAATAAGTTCAAAACAACGATATTACGGGGGTCTATGTGCCACTAACCCTAAAGTCTTAAGAGGAAAGCTTACCAGATTGCCCCGAAAGGAATCAAGCACATGAATATGGCCATCCATAGTAGTCAAAAGCATAAGTCTTCCATCATTGCTGAACTTCACCACATTGGCATCAGATTTGTCTGCTCCAACAGAATATATATCAAATGGACCCTAACAAAAATATACAGATGAAGTTTCAGTGAGGTATGTAAATATTATAATGCTAATAAACTTCAACCTACACCATAGCGAACCTTCTCATACTTGCGAGCATCAAACATTCGTATAAGCCCTCCAAAAGCAATTGCAAAGACCATTCCTTGATCATCATAAGAAACTGCTGGCCTTCCTTGTACACGTAAAAGGCCCTGGAACAGTAATCAAATAAGATTTTAATTTTTAAACAGCATAATGTAGGTTGGTAGAGAAGGAAAATATTAAGACTTCCACCTGAGACCTATCAGCTCTTTGATCCCATAACAAGACTGTCCGATCAAGAGAACCAGAGATGAAGTACTCCTTTCGAGGGCACAAGGAAAGAGAAACAACCCTAACAAAAAAGAAATTTGTAGTTTATTTTTTTGACACAAATTTATAGTTATACAAGGCTACAACATAATCGCAATGGTGTAGGGGCGTTCGAGGGAAAGTGAGAAGATACCTATCATGGTGACCTTTAAAATACCGCAAATACTTGTTATCGTTCAAAGAAAGCAGCCGGAGAGATTCTGATTTGTTTTGGTAAATTAGTATATGCTTCAATACCATATTAAAGCATATTGATGTAATGCTTAAGTTTAGACTTACCATCCCAGCCATTTTTTGAAGAGTATATAACAGTTGTTGGATGAGCAGTGAAACAAACCAGATCAACCCCATATTTTTTGCTATTAATCGTCTTCAAACACCTAATGCAGAAAGAGTCAAAAGAACGCACCAATAGTTAAAAAAAATAAAAATCAAGTGGCAGTAATTAGCATTTATTTGTCTAATGAACACATAGGATTCAATCAGCTTGTACTTTTCACAAGTTCAAGCAATAAAAGGAAATATTTCGGGCTCTATCACTATTACCTAGGCAACAATAGGAGTTGATTCTTTTAAGAACAGCATATCATCAGAGAATAAAAGAAAGCAGATAATACACACATAGCATTTTGCACATCATAGAGGCGAATTGATTCATCGTCACTGGCTGTTACTAGATAATTTGTAGCCTTGTGAAAATCCATTGAACTTATTCTGCCATTCTGAAATGCAAATAATATTAGTGAAGAGATCTTGGATAGTCTAACCATAAAAACATGCGTAACAAGACACCAAAACATACTTAAATGGTTAAATACAGCATATACAGTCTAGGAAACAAGTAACAAACAAAAAACAGACATTTGTTAGATGGTTAAATGTTGAATGCCATATCGACCCCCTTGCACGTACATAATGTATTGTCTAAAATACACCGATATGGATACATTAATAGAGAAAATTATAAAATTCCAGCACACAGCTATGCTAAAGATACATAAACAATAACTTTTTTTAAACATTAATTTGTCAAACTAAAATGGTTAGATGAGAAAAGAAAACGCCACATATCTCTGAAATTTGACACAAAACCAATGCGTGAGACATTAATTTCAGAAATAAATTTAGTAGATCATCTGACAGTACTATGATTTCAAGGATGAAGGGACTAAATAAGCAATATGTTAGAGGTATTGAACACTAGGACCTTTTGGTTGTGTACTGGCTAAATCTATATGCTATTAATTCTAACCTCAAAGAAAATATCTGAAATGTCATATTTCAAGTTGAGTTGCATAAATTAGTGGTAGGTACCTAACTTCTCTTGTTCTAGAAAGATTAGGGTGTTACAGACATATAAACATTATCGAAATGCATCATCCATTTCCTCTACCGAATTCCACCCTTTTTAAAGATTTCAATCTTTCCAATCTCCATCATATTGATCTAGCAATTGCTTCCATGATCAACTTGCTCATGTTTACCAAGGTTGGTAACTGCCACAAGATAATGTCTCTCAGCATGTCCTTTTGCTAATGCACCCAAAATGGAAAATCCTACTATTTTAGCTCTCTTCCGTGAAGCATTATTAGCCATTTTATCATACTACAAGTGTACAACCTTCTCTGTAAATAGATTTGTGATCATACAGTTTGTTAATTTAGACTCTAGGTATCATTAAGGAACTCATTGACATTCTAATAAGACCAGGTTGCGTCAATAAATGCAATCATGGAAACTATACTCTCCCGAAGAAAAAACGAAGAATTGTCACATGAATTAGAGCTAGAGATCACAATAACTCAAACCTTACCAGATGAATTGCCACTGAATTACACTGTTAACACGCAAAATTCAAAAGACCCAGATGAAAAAAAAAAACAAGTAAAATCATTAGAGAGCACAAGAAATTCCAATTAATCGACTCAAAGGAAACCTATAAACAGGATAATATGAGGAAAATAAAATTAAAAAGAGAGAAGTAATACATACATAGTCTCTGAAAGCCATGCCCACCTCCATGCTCTTCAATACCTCATCAGTGAGCTCCATGGCTACTTTCTCCTCTCTTTCCATCTGCCCCCCTAAAGATCAATACCCATTAAAAAAAACGATTGATTACTACAATCTGAAGAAAAAAAAGGGTTTTTTTTCGCGAAAAAAAACAAAGGTTTGAAAGATCGGTACCTGGCATCTTAATTACTGCTCGTCTCCCAAATTCTCATGAGAAAATAGAAGTTATAATTAGATGAAGAATTTGACGACGGTAGAAGAAAAGCGCAAGCGGAGAGAGATTTGGGGAAGACTTCATCCCTGAAGCTGTGATGATTTATACAAAACGCCCTGAACTGAAAATTAGCGTGAAGTCCCTAAACATTGGTGCGTTCCACAAAACTCCTCTGAACTTTCTAAAAGTTCACAAACTAAAATATACCTTTTCTAAATTACCCCTCTCTAAGTAAACCATATAAATAAACTTTCTGTATTGTTTGTGGGCTAAATAGCACTTATATATATACCATTGTTTCACCTACTTTTCACTTATATACTGCAACTTGTATTTGATAGTAAAAAAATGCCCTAAAGTTTTTTAAACTTGCACTTACATGCCTTCGATTTTTTTTTGCGGCACTTAAATATTTGCAAGTTGAGGGCATTGGATGCAGGTTTTAAAAACTTTAGAGTGTTTAAATGACCGGTTTAAAAACTTCAGGGTATTTAAATGCAAGTTTTGATAACTTTAGGATATACAAGTGTTACCAAAAACAAGTGGGGTATATAAGTACAATTTTAAAAAAATTTAGGGTATTTTCTTGATAACAAGTATTACTGTGGGGGTACATAAACGAAAAGTAGAAGGGTTTGCAATTGCTATTTAGCCTTGCTCCTGTCTCTGTCCTTTCTTTCCAGATAAATGCAAGGATAAAATCTGACCCAAAGCTTAAGGGCTTTCTCTAATTTTCAGAGTTGCAAGACAAACTTTTTGCAACTCACTGCAGAGCTCGGTAGTTCAAAGATTTAAGGGTTAATTGCGGATAGAATTTCTATACTATCGCCAAATTGAACTTAACCTCCTTGTGGTTTGTATCGTTGCAGATGGACCCCTTGAGTCAATATCTTTTGGCCCTTTTTAAGAGGGTCTATCTGCAATAACATGTTCTCATTCATGAGGCCTGCCTGCAACAGTTAACGGTGTGCAAACGGTCGGTCGGTCCGGTTTTTATCAAAATTTAAACGACTGAACTGAACCACCCATTATTCAAAACCGAACTAAACCGTTGCAAGTTAGTTCGGTGTGGCTCAGTTCTGTTTGTTCGGTTCTAACTTCATCAAACTTTCAATAAATGTGATCTAGAGGAGACATGCTAATAAATAACATTAACTGTAAAAACCTAGAAAATTTAGTCATAGCAAGCATAGATATTCACTGGTTAGAAGGATGCCCGTTCAGGTGGCAATTCCATAAGTGTCTTAAACGTGATAAAGATATCCCAAGTGAGTGATACTAGTTGCATACTTGCATGTATATAGTGGAGAAGTCAAATATGATGTGAGACAAGACACAGAAAAATAAAGTCGGCAGAAAATTGTTGAAATAGTGAAATCAAAGCCAAAATGAATCCCAAAGGGAGCTTAAAATGGGTGTAGTTAATTCTAAAACCAATTCAACATGCTGAATTTACACAGGATAAGAATTTTTTTTTGAGCTGACGAAAAATAATTAGAAATGGAAGGGGGAAAATAATTTAATTAAGTATCTAAGCTTTGTCTCCTCTATTTTGAAGTTTCATAGGCTAAAAACCACCTTAACTGTCCGCGAGGGCCGCGACGACCGGAATTGGAGACTTGGAAGCCCGCGACCAAGACTGGAGTTGGAGTTGTAGGTTCTCTAGGACTGTAGGGCTGGAGCAGCGACAACTGGAGGCTGAGATTGGAGAGCAGTAGGAGACTTGGGATTTTATAGTAAGTGAAGAACGGGTTGGGTAATAAAAAATGGGTATGGATTACGGGTCAAAATAAAGGTAAGTGTTACAAGAGGCCGGTTCAAGCGGTTCGGGTTGAAAATATTTCAACCCGGCCCGAACCGACTTAGAACTAAAACTGAATCGAAGCGTTGATTTTCGGTCGGTTTTTTCGGTTTGGACCGAACCGTGCACGCCCCTAGCAACGGTACAACTCTTTCAAGGAGCCCATTATGCTATAACAGACAATAGAGGAGCAAGTTCAATTTTGGCAATACCACACGGGGCTCGTCAGCAATTAATAAATGATACTCCCGGGGTTCTCCTCTAAATTTTTCTGTCCATGCAAATAAAACCGTGACCATGTTTTTCGACGGTGACTTCGAAAACCAGCAGCGAACAAGCCGTTATTTCAAAGAAGCACATCATGTACAGTACAATCCCTCATCCAACGAAATTCAAACCGAAAAAATAAAAAATTAAATGCCCAAAAACAGAGTATACATAACAAAAAGGAGTAACGCATATGCATGTTTGCTCCACCGACATTAATTCTTACGTACGTACGGACTAAACATCTTGTACCAACACCCTTGATCCGTGAACATTCGATGGCCCACCGTCATGGTGGCTCTTCTTCTTGGAAAAAATGGAAGCAAGCATGGGCACCAGCTTCTTCTTCTTCTTCTTCATCATCATCATCTCCGCCGACTCCCCGTCGACCGAGAACTGCCTCTCCAAGGCCCGCTCGTGACCGCACGGCGGGTTCACGATCTGCATCGACGGGGGGTTGGCGAACTTGACCGACCTCTTCTTCAACAAGGGAGACTCGAAACTGATCTCGATGATATCGGGGGTGTTTTCGACGAATTTGATGTCCTCCATGCGGCTTGGCTCGTGCTGCGGTCGTGTGCTTGTTGAGATTTGAGTTGGGTTAGCTCGGTTCTGGTCTTGTGGAGCTCCTGTTCGAGGGAGACGAGGCGGGTTGACATTGTCTTGGTTTCTTCCCGTGCTTTTTCGAGGTTTTGCTTCGTTTCTTCTAGTTCGGCGAGCAGAGAAGACATGCGGTTTGTGTAGGTTTCTTCCTCCTTGGTCGCGGCCGCTCGAATCTGTTGAGGAGGAGGAGAGGGAAATAAGGGGTTGTTTGGTTCACTCGACATGCACAAACCTACGACGGTAAATGTTGTAACCAAATTTCTATATACAATGTTTGGTTTGCAATAATGTATATAGCTGGTTATGATAGTTAGATTTCCATTTGTAATTAATAATAATAATAATAATAATATTGCAGCAAATTTTTTCGACATCATGATCATGTATTATTTGTAAGAAAGGGGTTGTGATTGTGTTAAGTGGGAAGTGAGGATGAGTAAAAATTACGAGACGTGAGATAAATATTAGATTCAAGATGATTAGCCATCTAAATATTAATAGAACTTTTCCTTGTAGTACTGTAAAGGATCCAATTTCATTGTTAATCATTTTGAATTTAAAATTTGTAGCTATCAAACTTGGTCAATTTAAGGGTAAGAAATTATTGAGAAACAAGTAAATTTTGTGAGAACTTAGGCGCTTAGTTAGTGTAGCAGCAGCACAAGGACTTGACATTGCATTAAAATATAGCACTTCATAATTTGTTAGCCTTATGTTCTACATATATAGTTACCTCAAATGAGTAGCATCAAGTACTAGCTTAGGTCACGCAATACTTGAAACATGTCAAAAGTTAAAAGTCAAAAAAGAGGAGACAACTATTAAAAGTCACATGTTACTGGATATATAATAGGTGCATCAAGAACTGACTATCAGTACTAATCCAAACAAAAAAGACTTGGAGATTGATGCATTGGTACAAAAATCACTAAATAAATTTGAGAAAGAGG